AAAACGACGGCAATAATCCCTGAATTGGGCTACAGATGCCACCACACCCAGCGTATTCTTCAGGACCTGTTAAGGCAGCTTCYGAAAATCTTTAYATTCGGTCGTTCACCAAGTAATTTCGTCTGATGACAAYAACAGACCTTATTTGCCCAAGGAAGACCGARAACAGCATTTTCGGCACTCAAACAGAAGAGACCAGAATTGGTCAATAGAATAGGTGTACATGATCTACTCCCTCAAGTTTAAGACATTTATACATTTAGCTATTGAAACCTTTTTTCATAATATACTCCGACAATATGACTGGTCTGTCTAAATCAACTATACACGATATGATTAGTCTAAGTATTGTTATCAGCTTAGACACTCTCTTATAAGTTAATTATCAAGTCAATATTTATTTTATCTATAATATATACATAATTATCACTTGATTTTCTTCACTTCCAGGCATACGAACTGTCCACACTAACCGGCACCCAAGTGATGCTGTTAGTCGCTTCAGAGACTGGACACGTTTACACGTTCGCCACCCGCAAACTACAACCAATGATCACATCCGAGGCTGGTAAACAACTAATACAAACATGTCTCAACTCACCGGATCCGCCTAGTGTGGGCGGCGGTGATCAACGCATGTCAGCGACTGGCTTCGAAGAGACCGAATTAAGCTATAACATAGCGGACGAGGACTCAAAAGTAAGACAATTAATTTACGGTCATCATGGTCACGCCCATCTCAGTCATCCGCAAGCGCCTGCATCACACTACGGACTCGAGCAGAGTATAATGCAATCGCCATATAGCGGTGGACAACCATCGCCACTGTCGCATGCGCAAGCGTATGCAACACATGGCGGGCATGCGCATCACACGCAYGTGCCACATGTGCCACATTCGACGCACTCGCATATGTCGCATACGCATGCGCAGCGATAGGTGTGTGTGTGTGGGTGCCATGCCTGCCTACAAATTGTTGGCCGTTACGAGGTCTACGTTAAACGTTAGTACTATATAGTAAAAATACAGCGAAAGCATTATAAGCTTTTGACGAGCTTTCATGCCTATGAAAGCTTTTGCTGAGCTTTCATGCCTATGAAAGCTTGCCACATATGCGCAAGCGTTAGTTTATACATATTTTTGTGACAATTCATGGTGTCAGCTGTCAACGGTCAGCTGTCATGTCATTACTTTTATGAGTTAACTTAACACTTTTTCACTTTTTCAACGCGTGTACTTAAACAGTTAAACAATTAGTTAAAATCCAGACATTCCAAACTGTGCCTTACATTTTAACTACCGTTATTTTGTTTGCATAGTACAAAATAGTCGTTCATATTCGTAAGCTTTYTCCACTACAATTACACTTAGTTGTATGTAACGAATATAAACGAATATGAGCAATGATCTCGCCTCTAATTAGCACATAAATGCTCAATAATTTAATATGTTATGAACGGTAATATGTATAATAATATATATTAAAGAAAAAATTACAAAAATAAAAACAAAAACGTACGAATATACGAAACTAGTCATTTATGATGAGTTGACACGAAACTGAAAACGGTAACCAGACAAAATCCACGGACCAACCACTCTCGTACRCACCCACTACCCACTGGTACATACATACATATCTACAATTCTGTTCGTAAATCTCAAGTAAGTTGAACTGTGCCATATTTTTATTTCAAATTCACATAAAGWAGCTGAAACTGTAAACGATGCTGCATCGTAGTCAAGTTTCAGCACGAACTGCATAAATGCAGTGAAGCGCGCTTTTAGGCGCATAGCCTTGCATCATTGTCCCTGCGTMTTCTCTACGTGCAATCACAAAAACGTGTACCCCAGTGCCATAAATTGGAGCTTACTATACCCAATCTAGCAAACAATAGCAACAACAACACAACAGTGGTTGTAGCAAACGGACGAAAAGTGCAAAAAGCGCGCAAAGTGAGCAACTAGTGAATTGTTTTTATTTTTTTAATAATTATTTAAAGGAAAATCTTAAACTGAATTCAGTGCCATTTTTGAACCAACTCGAAGGCTTTAAGTTTTCAAACGGCTATTTGCAGAAAGTAGAAAAAGTAGCAAGCAACAAAAGTGAAAATAAAAGAAAAAATAAAAAATATCTAAAAAAATAATTTAATAATAATTTCTTTTTTTAATTTCGAATAATTTGTGCAATAAACGATTTACATACATATTTAATTACCAATTGAGTGTAAATGAAACGATATAGTTATACATACATACATACATACATACACATATGTGAATAATATGCAATTATGAGTTAAAATATTATTCTGCTGCAGAGTCTACGTAGTGTTGGCGCATGGCGGATATGAGATTGCGCGTGATCACGTGAATAATGTGTTTGTTTTCATATATACATGTAGTATATAGTTATAGAATTTTGTAAGTAGTAAGTGTTTAGTTGTTGTAAGCTTATATACATATATACGTAAAAGAAATTATTAGACACAGTTGCTTATTATTGTTGTTAATGTAGATTTGCAAAATCGAAATGAAAAGACAGCATTTTAATGCTTCCGATGCGTGCGTGTAGTGGTTGAAGAGTTGGCTTGGTGGGCAAACAAACAATATGCGTGATAATTTCAAAGGAAATAACAATTTCAGTTACTGACAATGTTAACAATTATTGCAGCTGTTAGCTTAAAAAATATAAATTTTTCTAAATATAAAAAAAAATAAAAGCATTTGTAAAATGTTAAAAAAATTATTTTGACTAACTATCTAAAATTTAGTTTCAATGTTGTTTCCGATATTTAACTTCAACCAAATTTTTCTTCTCGTTCTCAAAAAAATTATAGAATTAAATTCTAACATTTTTACCAAATATTTTCTATAAGATTTGTGAAATAACTAAAATTTAGTATAAATTTTTATTAGGAATAACAGTTTTGTTGAAATCTGGTACAATAATTACTTTTTTTCTAAATTATTTTATTGAATATTAAATAAATATTTCATTGCAATATTAAACTAATAAATTATTTCGTAAATTCATTTAATATTTATGATTTTCGACGCCATTTCACGCGGCTATTTTTTGGGATTTTTGGAATTAAATAAAAATTTCAAACTAAGAAAACATAAAAAATCATACACTTTTTTGTTGTATCTACGCCCACCTTCAACTACGCAACGCTTCACTCAGCATTCCTTCGCCACTTTTCTTCTTCGACACTTTTACTTTTCATACATACACATGTACATAAGTTTGTAAGTGCCTTGTGGTTTTTGTTGCTTTTGTTTCTGCGCTAATATGGCGTTTGCAATGTGATAATATCCACTACTTAGGCAAAGCACCTACGAAATTTACATATGCGCATATGTAAATAACGGCGGCCGGGAAAGCAGCGACAATTCATTTCGGATTCTGTTGAAAAATCAAGCGAACTTCGGGCGAAAAACAAAATGAGCCATGCGCATATTTTGGCAACGTGTCACGAAAGTGTTTCCGCCGCGCAACTCGTCATCGTCATCAGCGCGTTGCCACTTGCACAGCGAATGGCAACAATGAGTGGAGCATAGAGAAAACATTCATCATCCGCCATGGCGTCCCTCGCTGTCAATTTGCCGCCACTTCACTGTGCGCTGCGTTGTAAGCGTGCGTCAGCGAAGTAATACATCTGTGTGTGTGTGTGTGTGTGTGTGTGTGTATATATATTTTTTAAGCATATGTGCATTGTATTTTTGTTGCGCTTTGGCCTACTGGCAACTGATCGTCGGCGACATTTCACTGACTCTTAAAGGCCTTGCGCAGCCATTA